GTACGGCGTGTCCACGATGCCATGGGCATGTGGGTCTTGCCCTTACAACCCTGAAGCTCAAGGGAGATTTGGGTTGCCTTTAGGGCCAAGTTCTGCAGTCCCTGCTCGTGCTCACCCCTGGCTCGGGCAGATCGTCCTGGGAAGTCAGGGAAGGGGTGTATTCTGCTTACGCCACTCTAGAAAGGCAAGTCCATTGGAAGAGTTATGTTGGTGTAACCAAGGCCAGGGTTTGGTCAAGGAAGCGTCTTGGTGGGTAAGGCTTCTGAGAGGGGTTTCCCAAGGGAGAAAAGTTTGGGAGGAAGTGCTCACAGGGGCAGACAGCTGGGGAGGTGGCCCAAGGTGACCTTGCTGCCTTGTTGGCCTTAGGAAATCCTCCCCATTGCATCAAAGCTACCTCCGTGCTTGCAAAAGTGGTCTCTCTTTGTTGCATGCCTCCATCTTTGCACACCCAAGCTGCGCCGGCTTTGCGGAGGTGCTCTGGGAAACCTATTAACCTATCCCAGCAAAAATGAACCCCCAAAGCTCTTGGCCAAAACCTCTTGCAGCTTTATGAGCAAGCAAAAGAGGGCAAGTCCCAGGTCCTTTTGGCTTTGCAGGTCATCTTTAGAAAGGTCAGATGAAGGGCTGGGGTCACGAGAAGCTGTGTTTGCTTCTTTCTTTTATCCTCGCAAGAGAAACGAGGGTGGGTGGAGATGAGCTGAAAAAGCGCATGGCTAATTCTGATTAATTCTTAGACTGGCGAGGAGGGAGGCATCCCGATATTTGCTTTCTACTCGGGTTTTCTTCCGGCCCCCCCGCAGGGTTGCCCTCAGTAGCTCCTCTGCCTCCTTTGTACTTCATGCTTGCTAAAGGCTGTTACAGCCCCCTTCGACCCCGCTTCGTGGAGCTGGGCTTTTATTCCAGAGGTACTTCTCAGGAGCAGGAGGTGGGATTTTCAGAAGAAACCAGCCGCTGGTGACTTGCAAAGAACTCCTAAGTACCTTTGAGCTTTTGAAAATCCCACCCCGCACCACTGATTTTCAGTGGTATTTAGTCTCCTTACCAGCCCCTTGTGCCTTTGAAAATCCCCCTCTCCGCTTGCTTAGTCTCTCTCAGTCATCTTGGCAATACTGTTGGATATATATATATTTTTAATCCTCCTCCTGCTTTATTATGTCGCTTTAAGAAGGCAGCTGCTGTTGCCGCAACACGCTTGCCGTGTCCAACAGCAGTTGTGATTTTTTTTTTTTGTCCTGTAGGTTTGCCACAGTCATTTGCAAGCCCGGTTGCATCAGTACAGAGGAGAAAGAACGCACCTCGCCTGTGATTTTATTACTGTGCAATAGACCAATTAATTTTTTTTTTAATGTAACCCCTAAATACATGGCAGGTGTGAGCAGCAGCTTGTCTGCTCATGCAGCTTTCATTTACTCAGCTGTGCCTTAGCTAATGTGCCCTCCTTCTTTGCACTGAGTTTGCCAAACCTTTTTTTTTTTTTTTTTTTAATGAATAAAATATTTTGAAAGCGCGGCTGATGCCCATTCTTTTCTAGCTACATTTCCGCATGTTCGAGAAGCCTAGCACATTGCATTTATGTAGCAACTCTCCTCTAAGGACCTCAAGGAGCTTTGCACACATTATGGTCTCTATGTAGTGGGCGGTCTCTTTGTTTTTATCAGTGTGCAGCACCTGCCACATTGAGGTCCCAATCTCAGATGGGGCTGTCAATGTAATAATAGTGGTAGGAGTAAGAATAATAATAATGTGTAAGTATGAAACATCTGTATTTTAGACTGTTGCTTTGATGCCAGTTTAGAGAGACCATAATGCTGATTTCTAAAATGTGAATTTTAAATTTGGGTTCCTAACCGGAGCTGTTGTAAAGAGGACTGGTTTCCAGAAAGTGCAGATCACCTGCCTTTGGAAAACAAGAGCCTTTATAGCACCTGAGCCTGGGCACCTAACTATTGACACACCTCCAAATCACTAATCCCTCTTGAAAATGTAGGCCTGTTCAATACAGGTTTCTGTTTGGGCCAGCTGATGTAGCTTACACTTTCAGCAGAGAACCTTAATTATGTACGAACCTTTCCAGTCCTAGGGCATCTCTACATTTCTTTTATTTTTTAACTCTCCGATAAAGATTTATTCTTCCCCCTAAAAAAATGACAAGGTAGACAAGGTCAATACTTGCCAAAAGATTTCTCTTAAATGATGTTTCATTTTTGCCCACTCAGAAATCCAGCATATTTGGTTCCAACTGAGGCCACCTCTAGAGCTTAGGCACGCAGTGATGCTCATTTATTAACAGGGCACCAGCACCGACACATCCCATTCAGGGATCGGTGCCTTTTTGCTCTAGGCATTGTATGAAACACTAAAATAATAACTATCTGGGCTTTGGAGAGCTTCAAATCTACACGGATTTTGATGGGTCACAACAGGTGTGCAGAAATAGTTGGAGACTGGGTGCAATGGGGCAAGTTTAAATTGTCAAGATAGCTTTTTGTCTGTAATAGCATTATAGCAATTAAATTTGGGGGTTGGGTGCTTGTTTTGAAACCTAGAGATAAGATGAGATGATTGGTCCAGGTATTTCTATAGCTAGACCTCGAGAACTTTAGTATCTGGGCAGCCCTGTGTATTGGTAAGGAAATTTTACTTTCTTCCTATTGTGGAAAGCAATTGCTGTGCAGGGAGATGAAATGGGTGGTTTACCCAAGGTCCCCCCAACATGTCTGCAGCAAGTCCCAGAGTAAGTGATTTCCAGTGTTGCCATGTGACCCTCCTTTCTCTAAGTATGGACGCATGATCCCCCATGGATGGGACATGGGACATGGCTTTCTTTCATTTATTATGGTAGTTGGTGAAGTTAACAGTTGACACAGATACCAACGGGTAGGAGTTGGTAATGTCCCAGTGTCGAATGCTCTTTTGCACATGGGGTGGGAATGCTTATGGGGTCCAGGTGAAAGCCATCCTCCCCCACGAATAGCTGTGAGATCATCTGGTACTGTCAGGCAGATGTGACTCATGTGATGGGTGATTGAGATGGAGAAGATCCTCCTCAAATGGCTCACGGGCAAGGAAATCTGAGTATTGTATCTAGTAGGGCCTGGTGGGCTTGTTGGCAAGCTGCAGGTTGTACCTCAAGGAGTGCATGGGCTATTACACTGTGGGGCAGGCTGTCTTCCCAGAGAGACCTCCAACATGCTGATGCCTTTTGCAAAAAGTGGCCCTGTTCAGTGCATAGATGGATGAAGAGCCCTTTGGAAAATCTCGCCCTATATGTGCACTTGCTGGATGCACCAAGTCAGGGATGCGTTTCCAGACAGTGGTGTTGAGGGCGAGGTTTCAGCACCAGCCTGTCGGTAGCTCTTGGGTGCACTGGGCTTTATAATTCACTTATTTTTATTGGAGGTCCATTAATTTGCAGCAGTTGCCCCTTGAGCAGGAAGCCGCTCTGATGAATGACCCCCATAGAGTTCTGTTCCAGCGGTACCCAGACTTAACGCAAGCTTTCAATGGACATCACTGTATATCAATACTACTCTAATTGTCCATGACACACAGTCTTGGCTTTCTTCCCAGACAGTCTAAATAAATCATACACTTCTACTATAGTAAATAGTCTGTTATAGGGGATGTTATAAGTTTACAGCTCTCCCCCGCCCTTTCAGGAGCTTCTTTCTGTGCCTCTAATTTTCCATGTACTTGACATACCAATGAGCCTCTCTGTGAGCGCACCTGCTTGGACGTGTGATCCAAACAGGTTTGCAAGCACAAAGTGCCTAGTGTTGCACCGGGTGCTGAGACAGGGTAGATTTGGCAGTGGGAGGCAGTTCCAAGCTGGGGACTGGATCCTGATGCCCTCATTCAGTCCTCACTTGGGCAAAACTTCCACTGACTCTGCTGAGCAAGTTATTTGAGCAGAGGAGCCGGTGGGAGCTGAGCAGGGATTTCAGGGCTTAGCTTAGCATCCGGGAGAGCTGCGGGGGAACAGTAGGAGGAAACAGGACGGGGGGAGGCATTGCCAGAGATTCTGTGCACAGTTCTCCAGCAGGCGAACAGGGTCACTGGAGGAGTCCTGGCAGTGCGCCTGCCACGACTTGAGAGCCGCAGGTTGGACTAGGAGCATCCTTTTAGGATAAGTCCATGCTGTGGCAGCAGTTGCACTGCTGAGTGCTTAAGCTCTGCCTTGGTCCATGCATGTAATCTCTGGTGATGAGGTAGCGAGGGCATGATGGGGCACAAGCTGTTGCTCCTGAGCAGGTCTCGGGCACGGTGCAGAGAGTACCCCCACGTAGGTGTAAACACACTGTCTATTAGGTTTTTGGTGGTAGCTATGTGGGTCTAAGGACATAGGCAGGCAAGGTTCTTTGAGTAGATGCGATCTCTTTTATTAGACCAGCTGAGTAGTTGGAAAAAAGTTTATTAGACCAACTGAGTAGTTGGAAAATGCCTGAAGAAGAGTGAAAGCTTGCTAAGAACTTTTTTTCCAATTTCTCAGTTGCTCCAATAAAAGAGATCGCATCTACTCTACCTCTGGCTTCTATCTTGTTGAGGCTATAAGCTCTCCCAGGCAGGGATTATGCCTCATATCTGTCTGCAAGGTCTTCTGTAAATTTGTGGCTCTCTAAATATCTAATAATAAGGACATTGAGGCTATGGTGGTCATTTGACTCTATTCAGAGGTATCAGGTTTATACACAAATCATGGTGCTAGCAGTAGGATTGCCCCTTCCATACAAAACCTATCTGTTAAGAAAATACATAAATAAAATACCAAGTATCTCCCAAGAATACAAACTCTGTGTTTCAGTGTTAGCTACAGCAAATCCCCATATATACAGGCTTGGTGAGGTTTGCACAGTGCAACATGAGCACTCATCTCCAAAGGGAAAGAAAATGGAAGAATCCAAGGGAACAAAGAATTTGTAGCCTGCAGATGTCACTGGGAAAGGTGACGGCAAGTCAAATACAATGAGTAGCCAATAGATAGGGTCGTATACCAACCAACACTTCCCTAAGAAGGGGCACTGGGGGTTTTTGTTGCTGTTGTGGTCTGTAAGTACATAAATACAGAATCGGGGAGAAGGATTTTGGCTGGCTAGTGTGGCCTCTCGTATGAAAGTTGGCTTTTCCAGTGGGCTGGTTTTGTGTCTCAGCCAATTAAACCTCTTAACAACCTGGATTTGGGGGTAGGAGGTGGCAACGTCATGGCAGGAGGGAATCTTCTCAGCTCCCAGCTTGGCCCCTTGTTTTTGGTCGCAACCCCCACCAGCATGAAGGCTGTGTGACATGCATACAGTCCATCTCCACTGCAAATAGGTGCAGGTTGGGATGCAGAAGCGTTGACCAGGCAGGAGGAAGGTCTCGTCACACGCAGCAGCAGAGGGTGGAACAATCCAGCTTGGCAGGGGTCCCAGCATTCCCTGCTTTCTTGTTCACTTTGGGAAGCAGCAGGACAAAGGACATGGCCAGGGCACAGTGGTAGAAGCTGTGCACATAGGTGTAATCCCAATCCTGCAAACAAAGAGAAGGTCAGGGAAAGGGGTCAAAGTGGATGGTCCCGTGGGCAGCTGGTTTCCTATGAATGCAGCGGAATAGACCTGATGGTTCTCAAGGTGCCTTGCAGTGTTATGTCCCTAAATCCCCTCTGCTCTCCTTATCCTCCTGCCTGCAGAATTGCAGTTTATTTCATACGTGCATGGGAGAGGTTTAAGCTTGGGTTCCTATCATGGGCTCTAATTCGGCCTTTTCTTTTCCACCATTTAGAAGGAAGCATCCTGCTGTTGGAAATTGGATCCGTGCTGCTTAGTTGCATTTGGTCAAATAAGTCACATGGCAGTGCTTTAGATCCTTGAATAGACGAGCTATACTCCTTGAAGGACCAAAGCAAGGCCCATTGCAATCAGAAGGAGGCTTTCCATTGAGCTCAGTATCATTCTGTTGGCTGTTTCCCTCTTATTCACAGTGCAACATTGACCTTGTGCACCAGCCGAGAAAAGTGACCAGATCTACTGCTAGACTTCTGGTGTGAATGCCTGTACCAGGAAGACTTCGCATTGATTCCCTGTCACTGTATGCATTTGTCTCTGCTGATCCTTGAATGAGCCTGACTCATGCTAGGCAATACCAGTTATACTGGAGCGCTCATAGCGGAAATAAATGGAACTTAGTATAATTTTGCTCTCTTAAAGTTAGCCAGGGCTTGATGCTGTTGCTGCAGCCTCATACCTAGGAAGCGTTGGAAAGAGGGTGTATGCAGAGTTGGGTAGACACTAGTATAGCTGTACCGGAGCAATGAGATTAAGCATTTAGTGACTTGCTTTCAAACCTTCTGATTCACCCGAAATGCCAGGTTTATAGTACCTCGCATCTAAGGTAGGATAGCAACTTTCTGCTGGTTTGGAATGCCTGGGGTTAAACTGGGACACTGGAGGATCGCCACAGTCACGATTTATATCTTTGTTTGGATAATCCTAATTGCAAAATCATTCTCATGTTGTGAACATCTTTGCTGGCCACAGTCTTAGCACTATGGAGTTTCATCATCAAGCTGTGTCCAGATGGCATCACAGCTGTGTCCTGCAGTGGTTTGCCCATTAACTGTTTCCTTGAGCAGAAGTTTAAGAAGAGGCGAGTGGTCACGGTGAATGCTGAAGATCTGGCTCCTATCGAGGTGTCTAAATAGGAGCTTAGACCTCTATTGAATCTCTGACCTTTAGAAAGGAATCAGTGATCTGGGTGATCCGCCTACTGCTTTCTTTTTCATGCACTGTGCTCTATATTGACAGCGCCCACCATCCATGAAAAGAGATCCTGAGACTTCTGTGCCCCTTTAGAATAAAAAAGAGGGGTTTCCAGCCTTACAAAGCCAACATTGGAAAAGTAAAGTGGATTTAACACAGTCCAATTTTCACATTTTCCAATTCCTGAATGAAGCGCTTCATTAAACTACACAGGACAAAATAGAAAAACAGGGGGAAGAGATACGTGTGTGTGTGCAGGGAGGTGATGCTAAGTGACATTTTTATGTTCTGCTCTAGCTTGTGATTATTTAATGCTTTGAAACATAATCTGCGGGGATCCCTGTGAAGCTGTCCATTAGCTCCCAATGCACAGAGCAGCAGTAGTGCAAAGGCTCAGCCCACACTCAGCCAGCAGCTATGTCAAGAGGGTTATCTCTTTCCTTGCTGGCTGTTAGGAAAGCAGTGCTTTCTGCATAGAAAAAAACTATGGTCTGGTGCCTGGAAGAGAAGGTAGTGGGCTGAACTAGTCTTCACTGGAGTCAATGAAGATGAAGAGTCTTTCCATTCACTCCCACGGTCTTGGGATCAGACTCCTTGCTGGAACACCTAGGCTCTATTACCGACTCCACCGATGGGCATTTTTGATCTTAAATCACACGTGGCCCAATTTACAAAAGAGGTCACTGGTACTGGGCAAATTGTTTCAAATAATGACAGCTTCACAGGAAATAAAATGGCGAGCCATCCATAGGCACCTTGCCAACAGAAACAGAGCATAAACTTCATCAAGTAAATTATTCTCTGCTGCTGTGCTGCAGTTGCAATTCATGGATGACCTTTTCTTCCCTGATCTGTCACTAGTCATCTCCAGTTGTGCGGGTGAAGCTGACTGGCATTTGGACTGGATTGTCCCCAGCTCCTACAGGCAGTAAGTTTTAGACAGCCCAGGCTGTATTCAAAATAGGGATGAAGATGTAGAAAGCTCTCATCCTGATAGCAGCTTTCCAGTTCGGGAACGATCAATGTAAATTCATTGTGCCAACACGTACCTCAAAAAAGAACCTCAGCATCAGTGCCAGAGCACCAAAGCAGAAGCCGGGGCCAATCTGCTGGGTATAGACGCTCTTGTCGGGGTACAGGCCTTTCTTCTCTTTCATCTTTTGCAGCTGGAAGGGAACAGAAAATACATCAAGCGCACTCTTTGGGTTTTTCAGTCTCTCTGCTCAGCCTCTGAAAGATCCCGTGAAAGCAAAAGTTGGACCAACAAGAACTCATGATGCAGAACCTACACAGCCCATGTATCTTGGATAACTAGCAACATGGCATTTTGGCACAAGAATGAGGCACGCCTTAAGTGCATCCAGATACTATGCTGGGGGCGGGTAGTGAAGCGCAGCTTCACACGCTGTCTTTGATCGTAAAGGTGTTCACTAAATGTTTGCAACCTGGACATGAGGTCAGAAAGTTTGCTCCCTCGTAAGCCCTTTGCAGCTTTCAGAAGTGGGATCCGGCTTGCAGGAGGGATAGCGTGAGCAGTGGCCTTCATTTGCAGCTGTTTAGGACAATGAAGAACTCTTGCAGAGCTCTGGGCAATGGTTATTAGTAACATTATTTTACTTGGGGCGTAGACCACAAACTTTCCAGGACATTTAGACATGCAGTGCTTGTGCTCTTAATCTTTTTTCCTTCCTTTCTGTAGACATACACATTGACCCTAACATCTCTGTCACTCGCTCTATTTAAGAAATCTGATCTGGGGAGCCTTGGGTTTTTGCTGCCTACTCTGTCCTACAAAAGGCAAGTTTCTGAGTGACCCCCAGGAGTCAGAAGGCAAATTTAGGGGCCTTGAAACAGAAGGTGGCTGGTATTTGTTCAGTCTGAATTGCAGCTCTGCTATACCACAGGTTTTTATGAAGATCTTCCATGAACTTTAGGGCACTTTACCAGACCACAGCACCTCTCGGTAGTTGTAAAAACTCCATAAATGTGTTCTTGATGACTAGAAACATAAGAAAGTGAGATTTGCCAGAGTGGCTCAGACTAGTCAAATCTGGCAAGGATCACAAAAGCTATTTATTTGTCTGCCTTCAGGTCTTGTTGCACAAGAAATGCTATTCAGGGATCATATAGAATATCTCCCCTATTCTTCCTCTGAATCCAGCCCCAGTGTCCTGTGTCATAATGCACAGAGCAGACTTAGGAAAGAAAAGTATTTGCCTGTCTTATCCTCCATCTAGTTAAGATGCTTTGTTCAGAAAGCCCCCTTCTGCTCTTTGGTGGGAAGCTAAAGAGAGTACCTTCAGGCTGAAGTGGTATGGAGGTGGTATGTAGACCCCTCTGCACAGAGGGCACTTTCAGCTGGTGAGAACCGGTTGACTGGTCACGTACGTACCCATTTCACTGTTATCACAAGGACGGCAGTCCCGATGGGTCCCGAGTAGACACCATAGCCCCATCGGTCATGGTAAATCCTTACTGCTATGGTGAGCACTCCAAACATCACAAAGGTCGATCTTTTGGGTTCATCAAACTCAGCCAGAGCTGCGTACCAAAAACCAAAGGCAGGGTCAGAACATCGAATCCGCCATCACTTTCATTCATCCCCTGGCACGTTGCTAACAAACAGCCCAGAATCATCTTGCTTGGCACAGAGAGCAGCTGGCTATTTCCTTTCTCCTATTTATCAATGACTGCCCAAGTTAAGCAGCGGGGAGCTGTTCCCTGATATCGTCTGTCCTGTTGCAACAGTTCAGATTGTGTGAAGTGGCATGGCAATGCATGGAGGAACAGCTCATGGTGGGTATTTCTCATTAGCTCCATGATGATGTGGCTTAGCTGTGATCTCTAATAGCACTGGCCACAGGCATTGTTTCTACTCAACAAAGTGTTACTAACAGAAATTACACTTAAACGGGTGTAAGTGGTTGGAAACCAGTTCAAATCTGTAACATGGCAAAAGTTCAGTGCATATAAACCGTTTTCAAAATAGCCAAAACTGGTTTAAGATAAACCTGGATGGGTGTACGATCAGACTTAACTGATTTAGGTTAAATCAGTTTATTGAATGTCTGTTCCAGATCCCTTCCAGATTCAAGCCATGTGCTCCAGCAGACCAGGGAGGTGAGCTCAAGCCTCCCCCCGGCTTCTGGCTTGGGCCACTCAGGCACGTGGCTGCATTTCCAGAATCAAAAGTGAATGTCTGTTCACTTGCTTATTGGTTCAATCTACGCAGCTTAGACTAACTTGCAAAGATTGAATTGATTCAGCCTCAGGCTTTTTGATTGTCTGTACTTAGCCTATGAGTTCCTATGGCTCCAAGCATCTTGTTAATAGTTTTGGCAGAACTTGAACTTCCCTGCTTCTCTGGTCCCCTAGAGTCAGGAACAGACCTGCTGAGCTATCTGTAGGGTGTGTTAAGTGTTCTTTTAGGACCCCGAAA